AAAGATTTGAAGTGGCCTAGACTACAAGTGAAAATCAATACATTTAAGTGGACTTCTTTTTAACAATGGCTGTTTCAATAGAAAATGCAGGAAAGAAAATGTATTCATCAAGCCACTTCAGTAAATCTTTAAAACCTCACAACTTGCGTTTGTTAGTAATAAAAAGAGTATTTTATATACTGTGACTTGCTACAGAGCCAATTACTGAACTACAAATCCTGGACGAAAATATAGTTCTGTGAAATTTTTATTTTTTAAATAATGCAATGCTAAATTAATTAAATGTGGCATTAATTAATGCTTGAAAAACGTTCACAAAAGGATACAATTTTAACCCCACCGTACGTATCATTTTAGTTAGAACATAAATCAGAAAAATTCAAATCATTTTCTATTTCAGTCCACTTCAGGAAATTGAATGCTATTTTGCATTTATTTAATTTAGTACAGTTATTTTTCTCATTATTTCCAGCATTGATGATCGTGTTCTCCAAGAATCATTTGAGAAAGTTTCAAAGAGCATCTTGTGCTTCAGTGGAACCAAGAACACCTGACCTTCGGTAAAAACCTCCATCTATAATGTTTCTTTATTTATTTTATTTTTTACTAAAACTTTTTGTACTAAATTTCATTATAGACTTTTGAACCCCTCTGCATACCATTTGCTGTTTGTGAAAGTATTTTGAAAGGACTGCTTTCGCACAAATGAAAAATTGCCTTAATGAGGGTACAGTTGCCTTACATTTGACCTCTATTTGTGAGTTATTAAAATAACCATCACAGTATGATATGTAAAAAAACTAAGTTTGGAGGTCATTATAAAGGGTGTAACCTGCAGGAAAACTGTGAAAATGAGAACTGAAGAGCATTTGAAAGAAAGTACCAGAACTTCCACAAAAAAAAAAAAGATCTCAAATGAGACTTGTGAAAGGTCAAGGGTCACTCTTCAGGATCTCCAGAGAATGGAGTAAAGGTGCAGCAGTCAACCATATCAAGAGCTCTGCATAACACATAACAAAAGAAGCCAGTTCTCAAAGAGATCCACGTGAAAGCATAAGTAGATTTTGCATAATAATGACCAAGTTACGTGGGAAGAGGTTTTGTGGTTAGATAATATGCATCATGGCACAAACCCTGTCCACACTCTGAATACTAAACATTCGTCCCATGATATTTCGAATAACAAGCTGAGTATTTGAATTTTACCACTCTTTCATGTAAAAGATGTTTCAAATGCTGTGGGTTAAAACACTTGATAAAGCGAGCTCGATCCAGCTATTTCCGATGATGAAAAGCTGACAGGAAAAAGAGCAAGACGCAGCAGAGAGAAAGAGGTGTAATCGGCAAATTGAAGTCCCACTTTCCCTTATCAGCTTCTCGCAAACAAAAGGGACAAATTGATATGTTGGAGTTAAGGTGCTGCTGTAAAGATATTGGGCCGCTCCTGAAGGATTTGTCTAGTTAAGCTCATGAAACATTAAGCAGTGACAATTCCATAAGATCAATAGAGCGCACCCGCTGTTCTCTGCTGCCTTTGTTATTCTTTCCTTTCCTTTCTGTCCCAGGATGTCTTTTACCATTTTACAAAAACTTCCTTCAGAACCAAGTCAGATCTCAGTTCATTTGCATTAAAATGCATCTGAGATATCATCTTTTTTTATTCTTGTATATTTTTGATTCATTTAATCTACTATAGGAACATCACTATTTTTAATGTCTTTTTGATCAAAAATACAGAAAAAAACAGTAATATTGTGAAATATTATTACAATTTAAAATAATGGGTTTTCTATTTGAATATACCTTAACATATAATTTATTCCCGTGATCAAAGCTGAATTTTCATCAGCCATTATTCCAGTCTTCAGTGTCACGTGATCCTTCAGATATCATTCTAATATTCCAAGTCAGAGTTGACATTTAAAAGTCACAATTACCTTACACTAATATACTTTCTAAACTTAAAGTATAGTTTTGTGCAATTTTAGTATAATTTTTACATATAGTAATATAGCTTTAGAAAGAGTAAGTGCACTATTCTTCTGAATTCAGCCTGGAAAGATTTTGTATTTACTTTCAAACAAAAATTGCAGTTAAAGAAAATTGTTTGTCAAAAGAATAAATCATTATTGGGTGTTATTATAATTATTATTGTGACTATATGTCAACTAGCTCTCATTAGTTGAGCATATGTCTGCTAGGTTAAGATTAGAGTTAGAATAAGTTGACATGTAGTTGCAAAGGAGAATGTCTGTTGAGGAGCATCACAATAAAGAGTTATCAGATATAAGCAGACAGTCTAATACTCTAATGAGTTTAGTTGACATGTAGTTTCAAAGTATATGGTCAGTAAAATAGTGGACGGAATAAAGTGTTACATTAGTTAACTAACTAAGGAATTAACAATGAGCAATTCATTTGTTATAGTATTTATTCATCTACTGTATGTTAACAACTGTTAGCTGAGATCCATTAAGTAATATTAAAAGATACAACTTTTGTATCCACAGTATCAATGGCTTTTTAGATTAAGTCATTGTAATAATGGCAGTTGTGATAATGCTAAATAACATCCAGGAAAATATCCAATTTAATATTTAAAAGAGAAACACATTTCTGGTTGGGTGTCAGTGAAGGGCTAGCCTACTTAAGCCATATTTCATGCGGTCGTGGGGATTGACAAAAACAATTGACAGAAAAAAACGTTGGGAAGCTCATATACACGGACTGCATCCGAAATCACATACTTCCCTATAGTTGGCGTTGGCGATAACAGTATATGACAAAAGAGTCTGAATTCACAGTAGCCTACTCATAAAAGAATAGGCAAAAGTCCCCAGATGACCTGCTACTTCCGGTGAGATTGTGAAGCATTAGTATTAGTATCCCATGACGCCACAGGAGAGGATTTGTGAATGGCAGTAAGGTGACCGACCCAGGTCACATGATCATGACAACATCTAGTAGCCTACAGTATGTCTAGATTACGTTACTACACAGATTCATACTATTTAGAACATACTTTTTTTTTAGCAGTCGTGAAGTAATTACTTATTCAAATTAAGTAGCCTACCTATTCCAGAGTATGCGATTTCGAACTCAGCCATGGTCTTAAAGCTAACAAAACTGCAGTTTAAAACGTAAAACTTCAATCCTGTAGTCATTGACTATGTTATCACTATCAAAACGCAGTCCTTTTTCTTTTGACTCTTTTTATGTACACATGTTTTATGCTTAAGGACAAAACTCTCAGACTCCGACAGTGTCCGTGCAGTGGACAATAAACATCATCAAACGCTGAAAGGCTTCTCTCGGCAGGACCTGTTTTGATCACTGTCAGGTTTGGGGCGAGAGGCATGTAAAGTCTTTCCCTCGGATGACATCACTGTTTTGGCTTCATCAGAAGTAAACGAACAGCGTGACGTGAAATCAATGCTGCTTACGGTGCACATGCATATCGTGAGCTGCGCAGGAATTGATGATAAGCCGCTTGAATTAAGGGTCAATACAGCTTGTAGAGTCAGTCAGGAGAGAGGCGAGGACACTGCTGAGCTCCCAGCTTTTAAAACAAGATCCATGTTTGTGTTGGTTAATCACATATTGATTCAGGCCAAGAAACAGAGAAATAATGATGCCCTGAACTCGACTACACAATGTCTCTCTTTATCATTTGCATGCATATACAATAAATACAGAGATGATATTACCTAGATGTTGGAATTTGAAATAAATAGGCCTATTGCTGGAAGGAACGAACAGCTGACAGTCACAATCCTTTTCTGTAGGTTAAAATGTAGCTAATGCATCACATATTCATCAAATCTGCTGTAAAATTGAATGGCACCAAAAAGCAAACAAAGGCACAGATACAATTATATAACATGCTGTAAAAATAACATTAGCATTGCCTTTGGTGAGATGCAGTCCTCAGAGACCGTAAACCCGCATTAATAATTCACTGCTGAAGATGCTGAGCTAATAAATAAGTAATTCAATAGATTTGTCTTGTGAATGGCTGCTTTTGTGACTCGATGCATAGCGGACTGATGGAGTTACAGCGCCATCTTGTGGAATAGAAATGGTTTCGTGTGAGTGTGAATTTACAGTCATGTCTACTACACAGGAATAAGTCATAATGATTTTAAATAAATTAATACATTCAAACACATACAAAATAGATTCAATAAAACCTGAGTGAACCTATAGTTTAACCCTATCATTTATTTTTAATTTACAAGGAATGGCTTATGGTGCACCATGTTTGTTTGCTTTTTTTTTTTGCTTTTTTTTTGTGATCAACAAATTGCCATGACCATTCCAGTATTTTATGATTACTGGATAAGAATTTGAAAGACATCAAGCATACCTGGAAAAATTATATTCACTATAGAATTTTTTTTCCAAGTGTGCAGACTTTTAACATTTGCAATTAATCTTACAATGTGCTGTCTCGAAAAGCATTCCCAGCCAGCTAGTGTAAATTTGGATAATCTCGGATAATCCCCTAAAGTACCTGATGATGCTTATTTAGAAGCTTATCACAGTTGCACTGACCTTTACAAAAGTCTTTAAACGATTGTTATGGTATGACTTGTGAACGGGTCTTTAGGTGTGCTGGGATTGGGATATTTAAATTGTAATTCCTGCTAAAGTAAACATGTTGCTATAAAGTATGTATGAGCTTCTGTTACCTTCTGCTTGATTTTTGTTTAGTCAGTCGCGACATTCCAATCTCTCAATCAGTGTATTATTAAAATCTTAATAAACAGCGATATGTGGCTATGGCGCTACTGGAACGTAATATGTAATTAATGTAACAAAACAAGCCAGGAAAGCTTTTTTTCTTGCTAAATATTTTTTGAACAGGTTCTTTTAAATTATTCGTGGAAATGATTCGGACACTTTACTGCGCATGTCAAAGTTCAACCAATGGGATGCTACGTACATGTTTCGTTCCTCATGACGTAGATTCGATTTCAGGAAGCGCATGGAGAGCAGTGAATGTCAAAACAGAGACCGACGAGACTAACCAGTCGAGCTGTTGTAGAAGTGCATGATTTTTATCACCACACATTTACAAAAAATAACATCATATCCCATTTACAGGACGTGAACTGCACTATTATTCAAAGCGGAAGAAGCAGAGAACCTCAAGCTGTGTTGAATCTCTCGCTCATTTGACATGCTGTCGCTCACATTACAGCGGATTCCTGCTTTCACCTCATCATTATTCTGCAGATGTAGCTCAAAACTCCTTCAACGACACTGCAGTCGCATGTTGTCCAAGAAAACGAGAGTATCCGATGCGCTCGCAAGCAAAGAGTCAGGATCACATGTTAGAATACAGGTGAGAAGAACCGTATCCGGAATTATTGAGGTGTTTCTTCAACTTGGGGTTATTTGAATTTAAGATAATAGTTTATTTGTTATGCCCTTTATGTGAAGATCACATTAAAACTATTTTGGAATTTTTTTTACCGTCCTCTCATTTATTTTCGCTATTTTGACTATTATTTGAATTATTTCATATGCATGGACATTTAGAGTAAACCCATTTCTGTATTTATTGTGTGAATGGCTGTTCCTTCAGTCTGTTTCATTACTACCATCAATTTGGTCCTAATAATTTCTTTGAAAATTATTATTATTTAAAAGTTGGTGTACTTACCAAAGAGACCGAAGGATCAGCGAAGAGCAGAGATTAAATATTAGATAAAGGTAAATATTATTGTGAACATAATATTATATTATTTTACATTTCCAATTAAACTGTAAAATTATGCAAAAATGTCAAATATTATTTGTGTGTATATTTAGGATACATACTAACAAGACAGAGGAAGCTTTTTACTCCAAACATGTTTATAATGCCATTTACCCAACAACAAATTCTATTTACAGAAAAAAATTGAGATGTGGTAGAAAGTTGATGGCGTATGCATAAACCAGGGTAATTAATTTTAGTTAACTAAAATTAAAACCTATAAATTTAAATAAAAGAAACGTATTGCACCTAGTCAACAATGCAGCATTTCTTAATTTAATTTATTTGATGCTCTAAAATAACAAAAAGTGAAATAAAAAAAACTATATAGACATAATTTAAAAACTAATTAAAATCAAGAAAAAATAAAACCCACGGATGTACTAAAACTTTCACTAAAATGAAAACTAATTCAAAATATTATTTTTAACGCTGGTATGTACTGTTGGAGATTGTTAATGGACAAATGTAAGTTGCGAGAGGCTGAAAAAAAGTTGAGAGTTGAATAAGCGTGATCATTTTTTTGTATGTGAACATGTATGCTGTTCCTGCAGGGCTGGGTTCGATCCGTCAGGCCACAGAAAGACAACCTCTTCTTACATGTGAACGATGGAAGTTCATTGCAACCTCTACAGGTTGTTGCCAGCTCACACCTGAATACCAGGTGCTATTCTGTTCATGTGCAATTGAGTACTTAACACTCTTGAATGAATATGAATTACTATTTCAAATGTCATGAAAGTCTTGATATATACAGTGACTTCAAAGGTTATTTGGACACTTAAGCCACACAAATGTGCTTGAATGTCATTGCATTAAAATAACAATCCAAGTGACATTTATTTTAATTGCATTTAAGCACAAGCATACTTTTCACACAAATTTCACAAAATCAGGTTTTAAATTTTTAAACAATATACAGTTCAGATTTAAAGGTAACTTGCATGCAAAACTGCATGCATTTTGCAGAAGAACATTGTTTTGGTTGTGCTTTGGCTCTGCGTGATGAATATGAAAATGACATTTGTATGTGTTCAAATACTTTTTTGGGCCACTAGATATGTATTCTTGATATATCCTTCCTTCTTGTGAAGAGACCTCACATTTGGCTGTGCTGTTGACATCACTGGCACCTTAGAGAAGAGTCCAAATAAGAAACAGAATGTGGAGTTAAAAGCTGAGCGCATTGAAGTGGTTGGAGAATGCAATCCTGTGGTGAGTCTTTACATTTAAATTGAATCAGTCAGATAAAACTGATGAAAAGTGATTTATATAAAGTCACGAATAAGTCACACTTGCTATAGTGACTGTGTATGTCTGCTCTAGGACTTTCCTTTCAAGATCAAGGAGCGTCATTCTCTGGAGTACACCAGGCAGTTTCCTCACCTCAGATGCCGAACAAATGCCTTCAGCTCCCTGCTCAGGATACGCAGTGAGGCTACAAATGCTATCCAGTCGTTCTTCAGGGTATTAAAGTCACTTTAAACACACTAGCGTTCAAACGTTTGGGTCAGTAAGATTTTTTAAAATGTTTTTGAAAGATTTCTCTTATGCTCACCAAAGCATTGATTATTGCAAATATTATTACTATTTCAAATAACTGGTTTCTATTTTAGTATATTTTAAAATGTAATTTATTCCTGTGATATTAAAGCTGAGTTTTCAGCTTCATTACTCCAGTCTTCAGTGTCATATGATCATTCTACTGTAACAAATGTATTGCTCATTGATAGTTAAAAGTGCAGTAATTGATTTCGGAGAAATGCTGTTCAAAGTGGATCGGACTGAGCAGCAGGACACACTTGTAGCCAATCAGCAGTAGGGGGGCGTGTCCACTCATAATGGGGGAGGTGAGTGAGCCAATCAGCAGCAGGGGGCGTGTCCACTCATGATGGGGAGGAGAGAGATAGAGCCAATCAGCAGTAGGGGGCGTGTTCACTTGTGATGGGAGAGAAGAGAGAGTGAGCCAACGTCTCCACTCATGATGGGGGAGGAGAGAGATAGAGCCAATCAGCAGTAGGGGGCGTGTTCACTTGTGATGGGAGAGAACAGAGAGTGAGCCAATCAGCAGCAGAAGGCGTGTCCACTCATGATGGGGGAGGAGAGAGATAGAGCCAATCAGCAGCAGTAGGGGGGGGGTGTGTTCACTTGTGATGGGGGAGGAGAGAGAGAGAGAGCAAGAGAGAGGTTTGAAGAAACACTGTAGAAAGAGAGTTGGCTGAGAGACATTACAAAAGAGAAAAGGCCAGAGGAATATCACTGGGAAAAGAAGAGTTATGATCAGGCAAGAGCTTTAGGACAAGCATTAATATTAGAAAAGCTTTCCAGCGCTGGAGAGACTGAAGCGGGAAGGCCTGAAAATGGACGAGGTTGTGTTGTTTCTTCTCTATACGTGAGTAACATTGGTTTTGCGGTTTCACAGAACCAAGATATGCTGTTGTTGTAATGTTAGCTGTAGTAACAGGACAGTTTTGCATGTCATTGTTTGTCTGGAGCTGCTGACGACTAACAACCAACTCTTGCTTGTATTCTTGTGTGCTGTATGTTATTTTTTTTGTGCTTCCTTGTCATTTGTATGTCATCGTCAGCTATGATAAAGAGACATCCACTCTTGCATTGTGTGTTTGTGCATTTTGGGGGCGGAGCAATGAAGGGAGGGGTGTGTTTGTTTGGGTTGATTTCAAATATCAACAGAGTTTCTCAGAAATCGCTTACTGCACCTTTAATGTTAGTTAATGGATTTACTAAAGTTTTCTAATGGGACCTTACTTTCATACAGAATTAATTATCATTCTTTAATTAATGCTAAAAACATTTTTAAATCCTGTATAAATTTTATAGATTGCAAATGAGTGAAAATATAATTCTCACGCAGCTTGTATGTGAACACCTCTCTTGTAGATTCATTGTGTTAATTGTTGTTACAGGAGAACGGTTTTGTGCAGATACACACACCAGTAATCACCTCAAATGACTGTGAGGGAGCTGGAGAACTCTTCCAAGTTGAGGTGCATTTCAGATGTAGATAATTTATATATTTTAGTATGTATTGCTTAGTTAAAGGGTGAACTGTGAGATGTAGCAACAAGCAAAATGATATCGTTTCCAAACATGGTACATGAATGCTTTTAATTCCTCTTTGAATCTACAGTAAATGATTATTCTTTGTGTTCTCTAAAGCCTGCAGGTGATAAAAAAGACTCAGATGACCCCAACCCACATTTCTTCTCAGTGCCAGCTTACCTAACAGTCTCAGGACAGCTACACCTGGAGGTGATGGCAGGGTAAAGCCAAAAACACTTGTGTGTATCAATATGTATCAATATTCAAAAGTTGATCTTAGTTTTATTTAATTATTGTCAGGGCTGTCAGTTGATTAGGAAGTTGAATTGTCGTATTGCATATCAATATTTGCTGAGAAAAGCCCCTAATGAAAATAATTGAAAAACATTACTTTATTGCGGCATTGAATAGTCATTGCAAAATGTATTTAAGATAAATCAGATCTGTAGCTTTATGTGAACCTTTAGCTAAAGGTGAATGCTAAACTATTTTGTGATTGCTGGTTGTCTGTTGCAGGGCTTTTTCAGCAGCGTACACATTCGGTCCTACATTCAGAGCGGAGAACTCTCAAAGCAGGAGACACTTGGCAGAGTTTTACATGGTAGAGGCAGAGATTGCCTTCACTGAGTCACTAGACGACCTGATGAAGGTAGAAAACGCACTGCTCCTCACTCATTGAATTACACGCACTGTCAAGCAAATGATTATGTTTTAAATGGATTTGATACTGTGTACAGTTGGGATGTCCTGATCAAGTTTTTGTTGTGCCCCCGATCCAATCCGAGTCATAGAATATTGAGTATCTGCCGATAATGAGTCCTGATCTGATACTTGTATTTTTCTAGTGCTTGGTGCATATTAAAGTTATTCAAATCAATCCAATGTATACAGGGATGTGCATAGAGTTTTAGAGATGTGCAGGTGCTCAAATGTTAGAAAGGGGCATCTACTGTATCACTACGGATATATACACTCACCTAAAGGATATTAGGAACACCATACTAATACTGTGTTTGACCCCCTTTCGCCTACAGAACTGCCTTAATTCTATGTGGCATTGATTCAACAAGGTGCTGAAAGCATTCTTTAGAAATGTTGGCCCATATTGATAGGATAGCATCTTGCAGTTGATGGAGATTTGTGGGATGCACATCCAGGGCACGAAGCTCCCGTTCCACCACATCCCAAAGATGCTCTATTGGGTTGAGATCTGGTGACTGTAGGGGCCATTTTAGTACAGTGAACTCATTGTCATGTTCAAGAAACCAATTTGAAATGATTCGAGCTTTGTGACATGGTGCATTATCTTGCTGGAAGTAGCCATCAGAGGATGGGTACATGGTGGCCATAAAGGGATGGACATGGTCACAAACAATGCTCAGGTAGGCCGTGGCATTTAAACGATGCCCAATTGGCACTAAGGGGCCTAAAGTGTGCCAAGAAAACATCCCCCACACCATTACACCACCACCACCAGCCTGCACAGTGGTAACAAGGCATGATGGGATCCATGTTCTTATTCTGTTTACGCCAAATTCGGACTCTACCATCTGAATGTCTCAACAGTAATTGAGACTCATCAGACTAGGCAACATTTTTCCAGTCTTCAACTGTCCAATTTTGGTGAGCTCTTGCAAATTGTTAGCCTGGTTCTACCAGACTCTCGTACATTTCATTTGTACAGAGAGTCTGGCACCGCTCCATTGACAAGCGTTAACTTCCTTGTAGGCGGGTATTCTATTGAAGTCTAAAACTATTGGATCTGCCCAGAGTCACTCTATCTGCCATAACCAATCGCTAACGTTTGGTCGTGACATATGTCTTTTCCCGAACCCCGTGGGAGGATGGCCATAAACACAAAACTAAGCAAAGATTGTTCTTGCTCCGGCTTTAACTTCTTGATATTCGGCAGCGTTGCCACAACGGACCGAATAGCTTCACTCGCATCTGTCTCCTCTGCCATTACTGAGCTACAACTCAAAATAACGCACGAGTCGACATCAACGTCATCGTTCTCAGCCACTCCCTCTGTTCGCTGATTGGCCCGGTAAAAAATTGATTTCTGGAAACCGAAGTCTACAGCACAATCCCAGACGTAGTACTGAAGGAAAATGAAATTGAGCGGAAGTGCGTAGGAGGGCGGAGCCAGGCTAGCAAATTGTAGCCTCTTTTTCCTATTTGTAGTGGAGATGAGTGGTACCCGGTGGGGTCTTCTGCTGTTGTAGCCCATCCGCCTCAAGGTTGTGCGTGTTGTGGCTTCACAAATGCTTTGCTGCATACCTCGGTTGTAACGAGTGGTTATTTCAGTCAAAGTTGCTCTTCTATCAGCTTGAATCAGTCGGCCCATTCTCCTCTGACCTCTAGCATCAACAAGGCATTTTCGCCCACAGGACTGCCACATACTAGATGTTTTTCCCTTTTCACGCCATTCTTTGTAAACCTAGAAATGGTTGTACGTGACTATAACTGTAATCCCAGTAACTGAGCAGATTGTGAAATACTCAGACCGGCCCGTCTGGCACCAACAACCATGCCACGCTCAAAATAGCTTAAATCACCTTTCTTTCCCATTCTGACATTCAGTTTGGAGTTCAGGAGATTGTCTTGACCAGGACCACACCCCTAAATGCATTGAAGCAACTGTCATGTGATTGGTTGATTAGATAATTGCATTAATGAGAAATTGAACAGGTGTTCCTAATAATCCTTTAGGTGAGTGTATATATAACAATTACTATGGTAATTATATTTATAGGCCTAAAGACATTGGTAGATTTAAACATTTGTTACAATGGTGGACATTGTAAACAGACTGTGCGGTCACAATTATTAATATGGGACTACTGATATAAACTTCTTGTATTTTATATGTACAATAAGCAGAATAATTGCAACAAAAAGAAAAAAAAGTGGTGATAAGGTTATAAAGTATGAAGCTTGCGGTGTCATAATGCCGGTTTGTCAGTCAAGTCCGAAGCACGTCACTGGCTCAGCTCCAGCCAAAGAGCGAACGCAGATTTGAATTTAGCCAGATGATCACGTGATGCACTGAACGTATGGTTCAAAGGATTAATTATCAAATGTCAAAATATTTTTTTCTGTCTTTTGGAAGCTGCATTCTTTTTTAAGCCTGTTTCTTATTTTCCAGGTAATGGAGAATTTATTCAAGGCGACGACAGAGCATGTGCTGTCCCATTGCGCAGAGGACGTTGAGTTATTCCACAAATATATGGCACCAGGACACAGGGTAGAACAAGCAATACTATTGTTTCTTATGCAAGAAGCTGTAATAAGAGCATTGAGAGTTTCTCCACCATAATGGCTGTAATAAACTGTTTCAACTCTTTTGAACATCCTCAGGACCAAGTGGATCTCATGTTGAAAAGAAAATTTTATGTGTATGTATTATATTTCAGTTCAGTCGGCTTTTCCCGATTTTTAAGTCCTTTTACTTTTTAAAATAGGCCTTGAGCTTGGGATTAGGCTAAATACAAGCTGTTACAAGTAAGAATTCTCTTGAAAATAATGAATGAATTATTTGTGATTTTATGTGTAACCATGAGCTCTGTGAACTATACATTTTTACTGCTCTCTTTTAAATCGACTTGTACTTGCTTTCTACAGCATTTCTTACACTGAGGCGATAGACATTCTGAAGAGCAGTTCACAGGACTTTACATTCAGTACCGAGGCAAGTAAATTACATATTTTTGTGTTTAAAATAGTTACTATACATAGAGATGCACTATATATGAAATGCATGAAGAAAAAATAATGTGCATTATCATTCAAAAGTTTGGGGTCCATAAGAAATGAATACTTTTGTTCAGCAAGGATGCATTTAATTGATTAAAAGTTACAGTATAATGTTGCACATGATTTCTATTTCAAATAAATGCTGTGTCACGGTTTTCACAAAAAACATGAAGCAGCACAACTCTTTTCAACATTGATAATAATAAGAAATGTTTCCTAAGCTGTAAATCAGCATATTAGACTGATTTCTGAAGGGTCATGTGACCCTGAAAACTGAAAGCCATCTTTAAAAAATTATTAAAATAGAAACGTTATTTTAAATTGTAATTATATTTCACAATATTACTATATTTATGATCAAATCGGTGAGCACAAGAGACTTAATAAATATTTTAAAAAAATTACCAACCCCAACTTTTCAGTGGTAGTGTGTAATTCAGTTTAATAATATTTATGTTTTATATCTAGATTGAATATAAAATTGGTTTAAGACTATCTATTCTGTCTTTGTCTTTGACATATGCATTACATTAGTGGGGCTGTGATCTTCATACAGAACATGAGAAGTTCCTAGTGAAACATTGTGGAAACGTCCCAGTGTTTGTCATTAACTATCCCTATGAGCTAAAGCCTTTCTATGCCCGAGACAACCAGGACCAGCCCAAGCACACTGTAAGAATGAGCTCTTACCATCAATCCTTTCTACATGTGGCCCTGCCACGAGTTTCACTCAAAGATATTTCATAGACCAGTTAATATGTGTAAAAATGTTAAATATGATTATATATGATGTGTTTGAAGCCTATAGAGTAAATGCTAAATATCAAACGGGGTAAAGATGTTATGAGTTGTAGCTATTGTTTTCCTCACCTCCATGCGCTCACTGCTCATTCAATCATTCCTGATGATGTTTTTGGACAGGCAGCTGCCGTAGACCTCTTGGTGCCTGGAGTCGGGGAGCTTTGCGGTGGATCCCTGAGAGAAGAGAGAATAGAAGTTCTGAGCCAACGACTAGCACAGTAAGAATTAGAAAACAATTCCTCTTCGCATTGATACAAGTAATAAAATATCACATATGCTGAAAATGTTTAAGACAGTGATACACTATAGTTCAAAAGTTTGGGGTTGGTAAGATTTATTCATGTTTTTGAAAGAAGTTTTTTCTGCTCACTTAGGCTGCATTTATTTGATCAAAAATACAATAAAAAATGTAATATTGTGAAATATTATAACGATTTAAAATAACTCGGCATCATTACCCCAGTCTTCAGTGTCACATGATCCTTCAGAAATCATTCTAATATTCGGATTTGCTGCTCAAGAAACGTTTAGATGGTAATTGTTGTGGACGTAAGGTGGTGGAGCTGTCAAGAACAAAAAGAAAGAGAACAAAATCACAAACATTTGAAATATGCTTGGTTCATACGGTCATGAAAAACCTGGGAAAGTCATGTGTATCCAGAATGTGCATCCATCGACAGAAGCATACATGAGCAGAACTCTGTCTGTCTGTTTTACGCATTATTTTCAACAAACCCTATTATAGATGCGTTGTTTAATTTAAGATGAACCGTGGCGCAAGTGCATGCCGATCCGTGGGTGGAGAACGATATGGTTCGGGTTTTTTTAAAATATTTTTATATAGAGAACCGTTACACCTCTAGTTGGGTTACAGAATTCACTCCTCCACCGGAATGCACGAGTTTTATCACTAAGGTCCCATGCAAATGATTTTTTTCCCCATGAGAAACAATTACCATCCGAATAATGTTGAAAACCTTCTGCTGGAAAATGTCATGAATTGGCCGCACTGTTTATGTGTATGTTAAAAATTGTCTTTTTTTTAAAAGAGATTTTATTTGAATTTTGTACACGAATACTCAAAATAGAAAGTGATGCTTTCCAGATGATGCACACTTTCACAGATGTATTACTACTGTATTAATAGGTTCTATTCACTCTCATCTCCTGCATATTTTCCCTTTCATCACAGGGCTGGATTGAAGGACACATATGAATGGTAGGTTCAGAGGATCAATTTTTGCATCTCACCCATATTTTTATTCCAAACTGAGGGTATGTTTACACGACAATAATGTACTAAAAACTGAAAAAGTTTTCACTTTGCGTTTTTCACGTACAGACCACAACATTGTCAAAACGACCCCTGTTCACACGGATCTGCAAAAACAAATAGAAACGCTGTATTCTGCTGCCAGGCCAGTCGTTGGCGATGTCACTTTGTAAATAAACATTATGCGGCTATAGACTGAACACGTAACACGCATGCGCACAAATTTATGTTTGATGATAATGGTGTAGTTTTCAAAATCTTATACTTTCAAACACGCTTTCAAAAGTGTGCATTTTCAGGCACCCAAAACACTGTTGTGTAAATGAGCGGTCAAAACACAAAGTTTTCCGGTTTTGGTTGAAAACGTTGTCATGTAAACGCCCTCTGAGAGAGTATCTTTGTGATTGAAAGGTATCTGCAGCTGAGAGAGTTTGGCTCTGTCCCACATGGTGGTTTCGGTATGGGCTTTGAGAGGTACCTGCTGTGCATTCTGGGACTCCACAATATCAAAGATGTGATTCCATTTGCAAGGTTCTCACACTCCTGCCTCCTTTGAAATTAAAGAAAAAGAATGATTGAATGTGTTTTGTCTTTTTTACTTTCTTTTTTTTTTTTTTTTTTTTGCTTTACTGAGGTTAAATGAATGTTTTTCACTTTTCATGTTTCAATTTATTGCACATTCTATACAGAGTTGCCAAAATTGACAATAAAAAAAAATGTCCCTTACCAGTGTAAAAGAAATGACTCATAAAAAACAAAAATAAATATATAAATAAAATAAGAGATAAATAAAACAAAAATAAATAAAAGAGTTAATGATACAAGAGTTATTATAAAGTGCTGTCCTGACCAGATTTGCCACACTGCAACAACACACAAGTTGTCCTTTCTTTATCAATACTGACAAATGCAAAAATCAGTCATGTGATACAGGCAGACAAATTGCATCCTCCTTTAATAGGTAAGTGCCACATTTTCCTCCTGTGGTCAGCTAATATTTTAGCACTCTTCATCAAGATTCGATTCACACCTATTGATAATCAAACTGGTTCTGATCAGCACAGAGACACCAGTGAATGGTGCAGATGCACAACAACAGGGCAAGTATATCAGAGTCTAATTTAAGAGTGAAGCTCTGACAGGAACCTCTGCGGCTGTTCAGAAGAACTAATCAACTCTCAAATTATCTAAAAAAAGTATGTTTATTTATTTTCACATCCTTCTGAAAGCAATAGTGCCAGTTGCTAATGTTGCTTGATGGAGAGAACAGTCGATTCAGTCCACCGGACACACAGCTGAACAGAAGACACTTCTGGAGTGACTGTCTTACACCTGGAACAAATGAAACACAAATGAGTTGTATTGCATAAATTCATTACTCTTAGAACAGGTGGGAAAAGATCCAGTTTCTCATTTAAAGTTGTAAATTATAAAGTGACTTTTTCATGTAAAGAGCTGCTGGAAAAAAATAGTTTAATATTCTTATAACATGGTTGTAACTACCGTCAGTATGTTTCCGTCTCAGGTCCTTCATCTCATCCTGAGTTCTTGTTTTTGGTGGACTTTTTCATCAAATTATGTTTTATTAAAGTAGTTCGGGAGGAACACGTCAAAATGAGCTACTGTGCCACCTGCTGTCTATAAACAGTAATCACAAATACTCTATTATCATCAGCTGTCTACAATCAGTGATCAACATCAGCAATCAGCAGGAAGGCAAACCATATATAAGCAGAGTCAAACTCACCTAAGGATGTTCTACAGTCTTCAGAATCCCTCCACCACCCCGTCTCCTCTCACTCACCAGGTCACTTCCTAAACCTGGGGGGAATACTCTGCGTTCGGGCCACTTACCAAGATCAGAGCCCTCTCCCCGGACAGCACGTAAAGAGAACGTAAAGAGATCTTCTGAACAGATGACTCTTCTGTGGCTCAGGCCTATTAGCCTAGGCTATATTTTTTGCAGTCCTTAAAGTCCCTGTAAAGTCAAAATTAAGTATGTGTTTTGAGTTTGTCACACCACAGAAAAATTTGTTATTAGTCACCCAGCTAAATTTGAATGATAAAAAAAGTCAGCAAGTACATAAAATAAGCTATCAAAATCTTGAAAAAATGAGCAGTAATCTCTGCTCTCAAACGCTGGGGGCGTGTCCGCTGGCTGCGCTGAAACCACGCCCACTCGCAGGAAAGCTGCCGTCGACTCGCCACACTCAACTCTACAGCCGGAATGGATGCTCGCACGGTGGGCACGCACTGCCGATGATGGCACCAGTTGTCGGCGCGACGGGAGGATGAAGGCTGAGGCGGGAGTCGGTTCGGCCCCATTCACCAGTAACAGCGGATTATCAGTGAATCCCGGACAGTTATCTCCGACGAAAGTTTATAAAACTATCCCGTGTAAAATGATCACTTACAGAGGCGGGTTTTGGCGGTGATCCTTCCTCAGCTCTCCATCAAGCTGGCTCTTCACAAAATTAATCCACTTCTTCTTGATGTAATCGTTTTTCGGAAATTTAAACAAGGACACCGATCTGTTTTGTACGTGATCCGGTGATCGCATCCAGGTAGTAGGCCTACGCATTTCCGTGACGAAGGCATAGCTAGTAGCTAGCAATCTGTAGGCTGTGTTACTAATAATAGTACTGACAGTAACTCGCGATTGAGCGGCACACTGATGTGAATCTGCTCTATAATATTGTTAGGAGCGGCCAGCTTCAGGGGCTCCAGTGCGTCATCAAGTAGGGGCGTGTCCATGAGCTCAAGGGCTCCAGTGCGTCATCGAGCCCTGTTTTAGCCCCGCCCATAAAATCCGTAAAATAGCAATGGTGAAAAACTGTTTAACGGTCTACTTCACAGTTCACAGCATGGACGCGGGAAGTAGGGGTGCTGCAGGTGCTGCAGCACCCCCTGTTGGCAAACTGTGATGACAATCAAATGATAGCTTATAAATATATCTCTGGTTGTTGTTTCTGTTCCACAACATTTTGTATGTCATGTTTGGGGTGTGGGATGAAGAGAGGGGTATTTTTAGTAATTATTTAAGTAAAAATTATTTAATTTATCTTCGGTGTGTAGTATTAGCCAATCAGGTGTCTTGACGCGAATCACGCGATTACGATTCAGCCTACGCAGCACACAAAAACACCGTCTAAAGAACTGCTAGTGATATAACGTTAGCCTATATCAATATCAGCGCTACACCAAGATAATTAGTTAGCTCATGTCATGTCAGAGTTTACCAGCTGAACTCCAGAGCGCAAATCTACCTTTGGTGTACCAAATTCATCGTAAGGTAGAGACACGGTGTCTTACATCTCTGCGTCTTTTTCCTGCCGCCGTGCAGGCCCAGATGGTAGCCTATATGATTGTGATTAGCATGCCTATTATAAAGAAACGAACCTTTTACTATCATGTCCATTGATTTTGATTAATATGCACGAGGGAGAGAGAGAGCAATAGACAGCGCGCGCGCGGCCGGGGCTCGCTCGCTCTCTCTCCCTCTCTCTGCTCGTTTGCGCCATGGTTTGCGCCCTGTCAAACTATGTGTCAAACGCATCAGTCATTCTACTCTACAACACTCACCGATCAAAAAAGGCTTTGGCAGCCGCCAAAAAGCGGACGATCCGACGGGTATTAAAAGATTAAATACAACCCGAAACTAAAAAAACCGACCCGGCCTCTATTTGAAACCGGCCTTTATTTACCCAAACCTGTCGCCATACCAGGCGTGTAAAAGTGACAGGCGTCTATTTGGGACTCGGCTATTATTTTAAGTTTTATGGTGTAAAGATCGTTGCCGTGCTTGCATCACTCCCTTACTCCTCCTTATAGTCCCCATGGCCACTTGGCCTGCGTGAATGCAAATGAAAAAAAAAAAAAAGTTTTGAGGGACAGTAGTAATAATTCGTTACATTTATATAGCGCTTACTAGTAATTAATAGATCTGTTTAGAAGTGGACTTTTCCTATAACCACGTTCCTGTAATTGCTTGGTCCAAGCAAGCGCCCCCCAGCACCCCCTGTCGAAAATGACTTCCCGCGTCTCTGGTTCACAGTCTTTGTAATATGTTTTAGCAATACATTTCTAACATTTATAAAGTGTTTAGAAGGGGGGGGCGGATCTCAGGGATCTTGTCAAACTGTAACCTACAACTGTCACCCAACCAAAATCTCACACACACACACTGTTTTAAAAGCAAAACATATTTATCCAACTCCATTTCAAAACAGTCTGTGTGTTACATCTTTTGGACATTCGTCATATTGCATTGGTTTTCATTTCTTGTCCTCGGAGCGTTAATCTTACACATTCTACATTGATTAAAAAAAGAAAATTGAATGTGTTTTTAATGGTAGTATTATTTTATACAGAAATCAATTATTTATAATTCAGAAGAGAATAATGTTACATTGTCAAATAATAATGTTAATTAAAATTAAGGAAAAACAAATATTTTGATCTGAGATATAGCAAAATAATTTTAAATTAATTCAGGTACAATTACCAAACATATCGCAAGGTCTTTTTGTCTTTTTATTAATTTAATTAATAAACTAATTATATAAAACTATTGTCAGTGCACTACAAATAAACTGGTTCTATGCCTTTATTAAAAAAAACTTATTTAAAAAATACAATGCCTTCTGCATTTTTGTTTTGCTTTTCCCTCCATTGTACCGAAATCGTACCGAACCGTGATGTCTGAACCGAGGTATGAACCGAACCGTGACTTCTGTGTACCGTTCCACCCCTAGTGTCTATAGCTGAAGTGAGACCCTGCATTACGTACATCTGTCCACTAGATGGCGTGTTTCTCAAAACAATTAATACGCTACTCTCGGTAAAGAACTAGTAGCCTAAACCTTTTTAATTGAATATTAAATTGTTGAATTATTAAGGTTTATGCCTACATGCTAGTTTTTATGACAGGGATCAATATAAATCTTTTCATCTTACTGCCAGTTTGTTAAGTTTCAAATGATTATTAAACAGCAAGCAAGAAGGAGCCCTTCTGGCCCACTCAGTGTCCGAATTCACTCGTTTTCATACACTCTTTCTCCTTCAAGTGGATTTAGTGCAGTAGAGTAATGTAGGGAATAGTGAGTGAATGAGGGATTATTGGGTCTTCTGTGACAAACAGGTTCTATTGAGCTTCTGTTTATGTTCCCTGATCAATATTTATATGCGAATAAACGCCTAAATTTAACCTGCTGATATAAAGCTATCGAGTCTCGTTAGAAAATTTGGACTAAACAAATTCATATTAGCTTTATGAACTATTTGAAGTGACAAAAATGGTCGTTGAGTGGACTGTCAATGGAGGGACAGAAATCTCTCAGATTTTATTTAAAAAATCTTAATCTGTGTTTCGAAGATGAAAGAAAGTCTTATGGGTTTGAAACGACATGAGGGTGAGTAATAAATAGTACATAAAATTTTTGGGGGAGAACTAATCCATTTAATTGTTATTTTCTGCAACGCCCTTAAAGAGATACTCCACCCAAAAATGAAAATTATGTCATCATTTACTCACCCTCAAGTTGTTGCAAACCTGTATGGGTTTCTTTCTTCTGCTGGACA